TGATTGTGATCGGGGACCTGTGACTTCGCATTGTATTTATTTCCAGACGCTTAGCGTATTGGATTGAGAAGAAAAGAAAAGAAAAAAAATGATAGTGTATATTTCTTTTTAATCTAATACGTCGCAGGTTTGTTCACGTTTTGATTCCCGGGTATTTTAGGAAGCGGGGCGTAACATAAATATATGGTCCCAAAATCATTAAACTATCATTTCAGCTTCTAAGTTAGCTAATGTTATTATCATTGAAATTGTATCAAACATTAGAAGGATTTGTCATGTTGAAAATTTTATTAATTGGGAAAGTGATATCATCAACTTGTTTAGTGTTATTATATGACCTAATAAAATTTTAGATTATTTGAGAGACAAATTTCACTCAAATTGATATTTTACTCTTGATTGGAGGGTGGAATTTCAAATTAACTTAAGAACTAGGAGACCTAGAAAATTTAATGATTTAGGAAACTAATTTCAAAATACGTTATGAATTCAGGGACTCAATAGAAATTTCTATCATTTGAAGGGCTAATTATAAAATATGGAAAATTAGTTTATTTTAGGGAGAAATGAAAATATTATTAGGGAGAGAGGGTTTGACAATGTGAATTGAATGTTTAGAGGGGTAAAATCTATTAAGTTTTTACTTGGGGGAACAAAGATTAATTTTCAAAAAACCAGGCAGTGGAAGCATTTTTTTCCGAAATAAACATGAACAAAAAAGTCATACCACATTAGCAAAAGTTAACAAAAAAGAGACGAAATTTGATAACAGAACAATCATTAAGGACCTCTATTGATGAGTTTTAAATGTTGAATGCCTAAATTAAATTAAGCAAAAAACGTTAGGGACTTATTTGAAGTTTTGCCTATTTTATACTACTATATTGGTACATGAGAATGCACATACAAGTAATATCAAACTTCTATCTAAATAGTTCTCATGTTAATTATTTTTATAATCAGTTAATGTGTGTTTATAGTATTTCTAGTAAATGATGCATGTGCATAATGCAGGTGATCAAAATAATAAGAATTTATTAGATGTATTTTATGCATCTAAAATATTATTATTGTATCATTCATTTTTAGTAGAGGAATGAAATTGACCTTAAAATTTTATATAATAGTTTATTGATCATTATTCATGATATGCCACTATCTAGCTTACATTGCATTGCATTTTTATTTTTTTAAATAATATAATTTTTAAAGAGCATGCATGAAATTTAAGTTTGATGAGGAGATGGTTAGGGGCTGGGAGGGATGAGGGGCCAAGGGGGCCTCGAAACATGAGGCAGTAGCAAATAGCAAATTTAAAGTGAAGCTGGCCAAAATGTAAAAGGTGCTATATTAAAACGAGAAAGTATCCGCGTTCTTGCCACTGGATTTGGTGACATGGTGCTCCCAATCAATAAAGAGATGACAGCTGTTAAGCTAATTCTGTAGTTATTTTTAATTAACTCTTTCAGTTCAACGACCCTCTATCATCTGCGACTTGCTTCTCCCCCTCTTTGCCCATCCGCCACCGCCTTCGCCGATTCCACAATCAATTATGCTAAGTTTTCTCAAATACACAACACAATTTGGTGATTGTGGTTGATAAATTTTTTTACGAGGAAAAATAATTTGGTGCATAAATTTGGGGATCCAAGGTCTGAATTGATTTGATGTTGTTGAGTCAGATTTTGCTTAAGGTTGAGGAGATTTATCATCTTGCTTGCTGGTGGCGCCGGTTCCTTATAAGTATAATATCATCAAGACTACCTTATCCTTTTCGGGTTGAAATATGATTTTTTTTGTTTAATTTTGCAGTAGTTCTTCGATTAGGTGGATCTCTCTGATAAATCTGCTTTGATTAAAGTTAGTTGTGATTATTCTTGTATACTCTTGAATCTCTCTGATAAATCTGCTTTGATTTGCTCAAATTATAGCCCATCAACCGTATCTGGTGCCTGCCCTAATTTTGTATTATTTTCATACTTGTTAAAGAAAATGATGTAAGACATGGTTGACGAGAAATTGGGTATTAAATTTAGGATTACTTATGAACTCTAAAGTGATTAAAGAGGAATTTAACCAAACGATTAGCCAACTATTCGCGTGTAGGGGGCACTAGAGCCGGTGGAGGAGTAAAGGCTGGGCCACGCAATAATAAATTAGCTTTTAATAATAGAAAGAAACACTCAACAAATTTCTTTTAATAATAGCAAGTTCAATTACTTGCTCATGTGGTTTCCTGAATGCTTTAGGGGCTGTTTGGTTCACTTTATAACACCCAAGAAACCCCTTCCTTTGTCCTGACACTGCTTTCATCTTAGCTAAATCTATTCTAGAGTTTTCTTTGTCCTGCTTTGGTTCGCTTCCTCATTTCGAGCATCCAGTCGTAGAAAGCTCATCCATCTTAGTGCTTTTCCTTTCTCCCATTTCCTTCCAAAACGTGAGGAAATCAGTAAAAATCGTTTTTTTCTGTACTATTGTCATATAGTGGGTTTTAACTAGTACAAACATGAGCAGCCCCAACGGGTGGTAAGAACCGTTTGAGTTAGTTTTATCAGCACCAACGGTTTTACCCGTTGGGGCAATTCAATTTTTCCAAAAAAAATCGGAGGGATTAATTGAGCCTGCGTGCCCCAGCAGCCCTAAAATTTATTTGCCCCCAAAAATTTCGATCTCTCTCTAATTCCCTCCCTCCCTCGCTCTTTCTCGCCAAATCCATCGTCGTCGCCCTCCTCTCATCATCGTCGTCAGAGCTCACTCTCCGCCTCCCTCCCTTTCTCGTCGCCAAAACCAGCGCCGCCCTCCTCTCATCGTCGTCGTCGTCGTTGGAGCTCTCGTCGCCGCCTCCTCCCCTAAAATCCCTAATTCGAGCTCCTCCTCTGATTCGAGCTCCTCCTCCTCCTTCAGTAGTAGATTCGAGCTCCTCTTCCTCCTCCTCCTCCTCCTTCGCCGCTGCTGCCTTTTGTCCTCTACATTGAAAGGTACATGTCTATTTCTTTCCTTTCTCTTTAAACAGCAATAGGTATGTTAATAGAGATAGCTTCACATTTTTTACCCTATACCTGATCTTATTTTAGCTTTACATTCTTTTGCCATACAGCTGAATTTATATTCTGATTGCTATTTCCTGCCTTTTGTCCTCTACATTGAAATTTACATGATTGCTGATTGACAACTTCTTTTTTCTTTTCAAGTGGTTTGGTCTCTTGCACTTAAATCTGTACTAGATATATGAAGGGTGCTGATGAATTCAAAGTGATGACTTCAAGCTGCAGATAGATGGCATGTAGTCTATTAAGAGTTATGGTTTATTGAATGCTTATTAAAACAGTGTCAAAATTTGTTGAACCATTAAAGAAGCTTTAGTTGTCAAGTCTCATAATTCTTTATGAGCTTATCTAAATTGTTTGCTATTTAAGCTGCTGATGATTAATTCCTTGCTTATACCAGTTGGAATGAGAAATAAATAAAACTAATATCCCTTCAGATCACATCTTTGTTGGTCAGGCTTAGAATCAAATCACCAACAAGGTCAAGCTTATTAAGTATTAACAGGTGAATAATACATCACCTTGAGGACCACATTTGCCATCTATGTCGGTGTGTTGCTCAATTCAGGATATTAATCTTTTGACGTGAATTAGACCTCAACGTTTTTTATGGTTTAAGTGTTCGAACTGTCCGTTTGGACAAACATATGAAGTGAGTGGTCATATCATGATTTATCCCCAGTATTTTTGGACAAGGTCAATGGTTTCATCTGTAAGTGAGGCATGCATCATTGCCTCTTATTGACTAATATGCACATGTAATCTACGTTGGAAAAAAAAAATTGTAGTAGCTCATATGATCTTAATCTCATGCGTGACTAGTAAGCTAAATGATGCACCATTAGTATCATTGAAATTGGACTGCTTGTGTTAAATTTGATTTATCCACTTTCTTATGACCCATTGATGACTTATTTTCTTGAATGCATGAGACTAACCTTCATAGACATCAAATTCACCATAGAAGCCTAGTGAAAATTTCATACACAATGAATATTTGATGCACTAGGCAAGTTTCACATTTATGGAAACTGTGATTAAATTCATACCTAAATCCTCATGTATGTCTTAAATATTTGTAGACTTCTTAGTGACATTTGCCAGGCTTCTATATAAATGTCTACAAGAGATCACTAGTCTAGATATCTAAATTAATTGAGCTAAGAAAACCCAACAGTGTGCATTGGTTGTGACTGGGAAGATAAGCGTCAGTGTTGTGTACATTAATTGTAGATTGGAGTTGAACTAGGCGCTAACCAGGTCAGTGAAGCAACTTATGCAGTTGTTGTATGTGATATGTTACATACTGTGTTCCATATAATTGTTACTTTTAATTCCCTTTTACTGGTTGATGTGACTCCAATTTGTACCGTCCAATTAACCTAATAGCCTTGTGCTCCTAGAGATAATAGTGGCTGTCAATTCTCAATGGCCTCTCCTTTCATTTAGTGGCCATTCATAACCTGAAGCAATCCAAGTTTTACAATGGTAGCATGTGAGATGTTGCTCTAATAATTGGACCTAAATTAAATCTGCTTGATGACTCAATAATTGGACCTAAATTATGTGGGAAAATTTTTGGTACCAACACTAAGGGATTAACAATTGTCATCTATGTCTGCTATTGAAATGTTTACACATTTTCTCGGAATAATCTTCTACCTGAATATATCAGATGATGCCTCCGCAAAGTGGGAGAAGAGAACTTTGGCGTTTGACAGATATCTGATCTCCGAGCCACCAAGTGCATATTTCCCCTGTACATTGCACAGATATCTGATTTTGTTTGTAGTTTGTACAAATTATCTCAAGACCTGAGACTGATTGAATGTGAATGCTGTTGCTTGACTTTATTCTTTCTTCCTTATAGATATGAGTTGCTTGACTTTCTAATTTTTCATTACATGACTTAGAGTTTCATTGTTTCTTTTCGCTTTTCATTCCTCTTGACTTGTGTATTTATTCCATTTATAGTAGCAGGACTTTGTTATTTTTTCCTTATAAATACGAGTCACTTGACTTTTTATTTTTCCATTACATGACTTGGAGTTTCATTGTTCCTTTTGGCTTTTCATTCCTCTTGACATGAGTATTTACTTCATTTATAGTAGTCCGGTTTCATCTTACTTGATTTTTACATTTATAATTATGTTGCTTTCTGTTGAAGAATCTATGTTGCTTTCTATGTTATTTATTGAAATTTGTGCTGCAGTAAAGGACTCTTCTAGGTAAACTTTCTGTTGAAGAATCTATGTTATTTATGAAATATTGATCTTATGCAAAAAAAAATAGTACTGATTATGTTCTTCTTTTCTTTTTAGTGTGTCAATGCGCAAGGATGCTGCACATGTTCTCAGAGACGTTCGTATAATTGCATACTTTAGGCAGTGTCTTCCACGAGAGCTAGCCATTGCAACATACAAAGATCTTGTTCGTAATTTGGCTTCTGCTCCTGCTCATGAAATCTCTCTTTCAAGAATCAGAGTTATTGAACTCCACTGTGAGGGCAATGATAACATTTCTCACAGTTTGAAAGCTAAGATTGTTGGCTTAGGAATCAGTGCTTCAATCCCTCCTTCGCCTGAGAATGCCTCACCGAATTGTGTTGGACTTGGTACGTGCTACTCTATTATCTTAAAAGGTTGTCTCGAAGCTCCTGCTTGTTTATTACAGGTGCATTAGCTTTTCCTTGAAGAAATAGCTCGTGATATTCAAAAGGCAGATCCAAAATGGAGGATAATCCTGTTGAGATACTTTAATCCTGTGGGAGCACATGAAAGTGGTCACATTGGTGAAGATCCCATCTTACATTCAGCAAGTTGTTGTTGGCAGGCTGCCTGAGTTGAACGTGTATGGCCATGATTACCCAACAAAGGATGGTAGCGCTGTAAGTACTGGCTTTCCCTAGAACATTTCTCTTAAGTGGATAACCGTTTACTTATCTGGTTGTTTTAACTCTTTTCCTTTTTCTGAATTAGATTCGTGATTATATTCATGTGATGGACTTAGCTGATGGCCATATTTCAGCTCTCAGAAAACTCTTTATCACAAAAGACATAGGTTCATTCCTTCTCTATCTCTATCTCTATCTCACACAAACATATGTACCCATCTTTTTCTTTTGAATTTTTCTTTACACATTTGGGTTTGAAATATTTTCCAGGTTGTGTCGCCTATAATTTGGGGAATGGATGTGGGACGTCTATGCTTGAAATGGTCAGTGCATTTGAAAAGGCCTCTGGAAAGGTGAGTTGCTTGAAATGGTCACTCCATCTCGACCTGTATATTTAATACGTATACCCAACTCGTGAATTGGCTCATTTCTTGTACTTCATCTCTTCAACTGTAGAAAATCCCTATCAAGTTATGTCCGAGGAGGCCAGGTGATGCCACAGCTGTTTACGCCTCCACTGAAAAAGCTCTCAAAGAACTTGGTTGGAAGTAAGTTCTTCATAAATTTCTTTTTCTTATTTCACTTCGAATAATCTTTATCTTATTTTATTAAGAATCACGCTCAAAATTTTTATGCAACTTGTAGAGCGAAGTATGGCACAGAGGAGATGTGCAGAGACCAGTGGATGTGGGCAAGCAAGAACCCACATGGTTACAGGCCAAAACCTTGAAAAATTATGGATGAAGTACTTGGGAATAAGTGTGAATATATTAGTATGTTTTCTTCCTTCAAGTTTATAATCATGTCTCCTCGTTCGTGTGAGATAAAGAAACCATTTCGGGTATTGATGTATGTTGATTCAATATCAACCTCTCAGAACTCAAACTTCTTCAGTAACTTTTTTCTTACATGAAAGCAAAAGCAGGATTTCTGCATCCAGCTGCATTTGGCATTCTTGATGTAATGAACAAAATAAGACTGATCTTAAGTAGGTTGGCAATAATTTTTGATTGAATCTGTGTATGCTTTTGAAGACAGTCAGGTATTTTTTTTATTTGATTTGCCTAATTGCCCCAACGGTTGGAAACATTGGGGCAAATATTTGCCCCAACGGTTCCAACCGTTGGGGCAAACTTAGCAACCGTTGGGGTTGGGTCCCCAACGCAATTTTTCCCAACGATCGTTTTTTAGCTCCAACGGTTCTAACCGTTGGGGTCATGATTTGCCCCAACGGTTTCAACGGTTCTAACCGTTGGGGTCATGATTTGCCCCAACGGTTTCAACCGTTGGGAAAAGTTCTTGAATGCTAGGGTTATCGTCACTTTCCCTCATTCTATTCACTCTCTTCGCACCTCGGTTCCTCTGTGATCATCGTGGGTTTATTGAGCTATTGATTTTCTGCTTAATCTATGATTTTGTTGGTTTATCATGCCTTTGTTCCTCAGATTTATGATTTTTGCTAGATCATAAAGAAACATTATTCTTGGTGTTTGATTTGTGCAAATTCATCAAACTAAGGTACAATTTCTTCCTTTTTAGTGAAATTATTGTGATAAATTTTGTATTTTACAATTTCTTTATTTTTGAGATTTCAGACCTTGATTGAGACATGTTAAATTTCCTCACCCAGTCAAATTAGTTGAAATTTTGTGAGTTTTAATTGAGTTTGCACATATACTTCAAATGTGATTGATTTTGTTGTTGATTTTCTAGCCTAGTCCATTAGCTGTTGATTTTCTACACAATTTCCTCATTATTTTGCTCATTCTAAATAAACATTAGTTAATACAATGCCTCAATGAGAATTTTAACAAAAATTTGCTCTTTGAAATAATCTTCTCTCTGAGAAAAGTATAGCACTCGATTGTGGGGTACTTACAGTTAATAACAATTGATGATTAGAGAATGGTAATCGCCTTCCTAGATTATTCAATCATTGGAGGTTGATGTATTTAGCAAATGATGATTTCAATTATGTGAACTTGCTCTATGAATGTGATTATTGGCTATGTTATTAAAATTGACAAGAACAGAATTTATGAACTAAAACTTAAATTGACAAACTTTTCCAATTTGATTAGTTCTAAAGTTGTTTATAAAGAACTCATAAATCAGAATTGGTTGATTTCCTTTTATCTAGTTTCAATTAGTTATCTAGTTTCAATTAGTTATCACTGATTTTATTCTTGCTTTTGTTCACTACTCTCTTTGCTGTTGTATTGTAATGGAATATTTATTATTGTTGACACCACAGTTTGAAAGCTAAATAGCGGCTGCTTAGAGTTCAATTCAACCAAAGATGCAACATTATGGTTAATCAATTAAGATATGGGTAAAAATTTGGGATTTTTTATATTTATTCTTCGTAGTATTAAGACATGTACAAAGTGAGATATTTAGTTACTCCTTAGCATAAATTGATTTCATTTCATGGGTGATTTGGTTATTGTTATTGCATACGGTTGGTTGTTTATTCACCCTTTACATTATTACCATTACTTTCATGGATGCTTGCTTGCAATATAAATTATTTTAATTTGATGTTTGTATCGTAGATAGATGGTGATGGCGATTGATGAAAGAACAAAATGTTGTTAACATGGTTCAAGGGGATGCACTATCTGTTTTTGCTATAGTATTTATGTTCATGAGGAGAATGCAAGCTAGACTTAAATCAATTTGTAGTGGTCCAAGTGATGAAAAAATAAAACAAGAGAAAACTAGAATTGTCATAGAGCATTGTTTGGGGAGAAAGTTGATGTATTCATTGTGGTGTTCATTATAACTTTAAACGTTACAATAAAAATAAAAGTTAGTCTTTTTATAAGACCCTTATACAATGAAAACAAAAGAAAGTAGAACTCTCGTCAAACAGCGCAACGGGTGTTTATCGCCCGTTGCTTGTGTGGGATCTTGGCCTGTGACAGGGACATTGATATCTGTGGACCACCAAACGATCAGATCAGATCCGGAGTTTCGTTGACTCGCGAAGGAATTAGGAAGCCGAAACAATTATCTCGACAACAGCGAGATAATCACTCTTCTCGAGATCACCGCAACAGGGAAATCTCAAGGCAAAAGACCGGGAAGTGTAAATCTGACGAGCTCCTCTTATTTATGCCGATGAACTCGATCCGACCTCCTCCTCTCTTCTAAAATTCATGCTCCTTCAATCTTCACAGGGCTTCACCAACGCTCGAGAATTCCAGATCTGAAAAAATAAAGGCCCTGGGGCTGTATTTGTAGGCTTCAGGAGCCCTATTTTCAGATAAGAATGACTGATTCACTCTTATCTTTAGTTGTAACCACTTAACCACGTTCTTGGATGATATCTTATCAGTTGGAACAAATCCAGACGGTTAACGGTTAAAAAACAGCTTAAATCTGCCAAAAATAGTATTTTTAGGCTGCGGACACTTGTGGGTGTCTCGGTCAAGCCTTGGCCGAGACACCACTTGGTGTCTCGGCCAAACTTTGGCCTGAATTTGGTTTCGCGCGTTCTATCCGTTTTTGCCGTATCTTCATCGTCCGAACTCGGAATTACGAGGTTCAAGATGCTTTGGGAAGCTAACGAGGAGATCTATAAGCTCCCATGGTTGAATCACATGTGAAGTAGATAGGACATGAGGGGTGCTTCATCTTTTGTAAGCGACGCATAGCTCCCGATCAGTTCGTGTTTGGTTATTCTGAAGTTCTATTGCTTCACACGGTCAGTCGACTCACTTCATGCGCTTGTCGATATCAAATAAGCTTTTGTGACTCAGATAGCGACATTCATCATATTTTCTCTATCTTGAGCCGCGTGTGGGGATTTGTGGGTAATTTTTAACGCCTATAAATACCCCCTCCAAAGTGTTTCAGTCTCGTTTCTTTTATAGAAGAGCCTGATATACTTTGAATCTGATCGGTCCAACCTTCAGTTGGTGTGAAAGGACCTGTAGTTAGCTTCGATTCTTGACTTCTTTGATTTTCAGTCTATTTTGATAAATAGCTGAAGTTCTTGCAGCGCTGTGTTTTTGTCTGTCCATCGTCGAAGTTTTGAGTCAAACTTGGTAAGTTGGTTTTGGCTTGTGTCATTGGTTTACTTTGAACTAATTATCTTCGTCGCAATGAGTTGACCGGTGTTGACTCAGAGCTACGTGTTGACTGGTGTTGACTTTTCTTGCAACGTGTTGACTGGCGTTGAGCTAGGGCTACGTGTTGACCGGCGTTGACCTAGGGCTACACGTTGACCGGCGTTGACCTTAGGGTTTCGCATCGATCGTCGTTGACACAGTTTATACTCGTACGTTTATTGGAGTATACACAGTTTAAGCTCTTAAGGTATTGGAGCATGGCGGTCCCAAATGTCGAGGCTGCAAGACCAATTATTAAAACTGATTCATCTGCATGTATGGATCTTATCTTAAAATTATCGGATTCTTAAGTCACGAGACCAACTAATGGAGCTGGTGCGTCAATGACTCTCATATTTATAGGATTTTTGGCAAACTCTCAGCCATCAACAGGTTTGATGAGTCTTTACCGACTACCGTTTGAGTTGGGCTAGCATGCAGATTGTTTAAGTCTGTTCTGCAAGTAACGTTGTGCTAAAAGAGTTAACTATTTTAATGCTACGATATTAAACACGTAGACTTTGTCTTTCTTATAGGAATAGACTACCCGGCGCCGTGTATTAGACGTAGACTTTAGGATTTTTGTCCAATCCTCAGCCATCAATGGATTTGACGTACTTTTACCGACTACTGTTTGAGTCGGGCTAGCATGTGAATTATTAAAACCCGTTTCACATGTGACGTCGTGCTAAGAAAGC